AACCTCAACTTTTAGGGGCTCATTGGTGAAAGAGACACTTTCAAATGACTTAAATAGGCACAGAATATTCTTGGGCATCTCAGAAGTCTCTGTTACATATGGAGGATTCGAGACTCTAGAAGAATAGATATCGCCTGGATGGGGATGGGGTTGGTAGTAGTAGTGGATGGCTGTAGTGTGTGTATATATGTGTGTTTCCAGTATAAGTGAGAAAGACAAGAGTGGGCTTAGTAACTAATTTGATCGCTAAAAAAATAGGAAATAATACAAACACTTGTATGCCCTTAAATATGACAACTCAGATGAAACTGACCAATCCTTAAACCTCAGAAAGTGTCAAAACTTATGTAACACAAGGATTGTTAATTTTAATAATTGAACTGGTTGTTACAAGCCATTTGGAAAAGAAATCTGTAAGGACTGCTGTTTTCACTGAAAAGTTCTACCAAACATTTAAAGAAGAATTAAGTCCAATTCGACACATTCTCTTCTATGAATGTGAAGAAAAGGAAAGATTCCCCAAGTGATATGAGGCCAAAATGTCCTGATATCAAAACCAGATAAAGAGTATAAAACAAAAAAACCTATAGACCAATATCCAATATCCCTGATGAACAGACACAAAAAATCTTCAATGAAATATCAGCAAATCAAATCCAGCAATATGAAAAAGAATCATACAACTTGAGCCTAGGGTCTGCTTGAAAGGAATTCATCTTCGAGATTGTTGAAGGTGAAGCATTCTATTTTAATATGTCCCAGAAATAGACCTAGTGAGAGAAGTCATCCGATATTCTGGAAAGAGACTTCAATAACCTGGGTGAATTGGTGGGTCCTGTTGTTTTTTTTTTTTTCATTCCTCTGTACTTGCTATTTTCAGAGGTTCTCAACTCGAGACAATATAGTAAATAAAAGGACAGTTGGCAGTGTATGAAATTTTCCATTTCCATTTTTTGCACTTCATTTTGCTTTTTCTGTTTGGAGGGTGTGTGCATGTGTGTGTGTCTGAGAGACAGAGAGAGAATGGGATGGAAGTGTTAACCTCAGTGGTGTGTGATACCATCTCAATCAATGAAAAATCATTCCACCTTCATGCCTGATCTTTTCCCTCTCAAGAAACATGCTCCAAACACTCTTAGGGTGATGCCATTACTGGCTTTATCTCCAAAACTTCTTTTTCCAGCCTAGGTCTCTCTCCTAAAACATACATCCAGGTATCCTCTAGACATCTTTTCTTTCTTCCAAGATGCTCCCCTTCCAACAGCCTCAGGAAGTGTCGACTCCTCATCTACATAGCACTGCTCACTCAAGGCAGAATGCTGGTAGACTCAGCGTCCAGTATCCCTTCCCTTATTATACCTTCTCCAGTGCCTCTCGGTTCCCTGCATTCTACTGTCTATAGCCACGCTGTGACTTCACCATATGCATCACTCCATAAAATTTCACTATTTGTTTTCTTTCTTACTTATGACCCCCTTTCTCCACTATATCCCCCTAGATTGCAGAGAACACATGTTTCCTCCACGTTATATCTCCAGACACACTGCAAGAAATATGGAGCTTAATAAGTAGTTGCAGAAGGAAGATGAAATACAAGCCATCTCCTCTCTCCAGCGAATTCCTGTCCAAATTTTCTAATTGGTCCCTGGGTCATCTCTGTCCACCTGCCTCCAACTCCAGTCCAACTCTGATTCCAGTTAACCTTTCTAAATGAAACTCATGACACTATCAATCCCTCAGGACTCGCTTGCTGCACTGTGAGTCTGGGCAGCACTAGAAGGTTTCTGGTGTCAGTGAGTTTGGTTTCCGGGTCTTCAGTGAATTTGGCTTCAGGGTTTTCCAGCACCCTGTCCCCATGAGGGGCCAAGGGCTCCTGCCTCACCCCCACGGCAGAAAGCAGCACTGGCTGTCCTCACTTCACTGCATTTTCTAACAAAAAGGGGCCAGCTTACCAAACAGTCCTAATGTGATTGATTTTTCCTCTCAGAACTAGGTGCTTTTCTAAAATGCAAATATTTTAGCCACATGATAGACATTGCTCAATATTTGCTGAACATATTAATGTGAGCTCTCTGTCTCCATTCCTTGGCCTGTGAGACATTTGGGGCCCATATGGGGGCTCCAAGGTGGAGGTTGCTGCTTTTGTGGACAAGAAAGAGCCAAAAGGATTCACATTTCATATGGGGCCTCGGGGCCTCTGCTGCGAGCATGCGCACTGTCCACTGGAGGCTCTCTGGTGACCCCTCTCCCCCTCTTCTGTTCGCTATGGAAACCAGTGCCAGGACAGGCTTCTCCTTCTATTCCCGAGTCTGCCAAGAACAGCCTATTCCACAGCTGTGTAATCTGTTCCACATTACAGAGTTTGAAGTAACCCACCAGCAAAACTGTCTGCACCAGAATATTTTAAGTTATAAGGTCTCCCTATACTTTCTGCATCCAGAAGACTTCTATTTACAGCTTCTTTATGACTTTCTTTGGGGAGATATTTTGTAAATCTCAAGACTTAACGTCTAAGTTGCTGGCACTTAGTGTGTTCATTGCTCCAATCAAATAAAGTCAACCTTGAGATGCTCAGCAAGACTAACTTATTGCAAACATTCCAGGTGCACCATGGCAGCTCTATCCCCAAATGCTGACCTTTAACTTAAAACGTGCCCCATGAGGATTGGCTTGTACTTTCTCAGGAGGTCATCTTTCTTTTCTCCTTACCTTCTGGAAGACCTGTGTCCCAAGTCTAGGGGTGGGTAGTTTTCTAGCTATGGGCCTCTCCCGTGGCATGCATAGGTTCCCTTTTTCTACTTTAAGGTTATCCTTTCCCCCCCAACACCACTCTCGATGAATTTCCTCCTTGGTGAGAAATGGAGCAGACTTTGCTTGGGAAGAAGCTAGCATCACAATTAGCAGGTGTTCAGTCGAGCTCCAAGAATGGCAACACTAATGGTCTACCCTGTGCTTGACTTCAAATTTGGTTATCAGTTCCAAGGCTTGAATGCCTCATTGCAGTCCTGAGCCACCGTACAAACAACAGTCCTGTCAGTTAGGTGTGAAGTGAGCTTCCGTAGAGTTGGGGATATACTGTTACACCCCATGGTGAGGGCAGCATCGCCAAAATAAGGTCTAGCTCTTGGGTCAGACCTCTGATATTACACTGCAAGTGAGAACTTTCATGATTATGTTTGCTTTCACGATTTTATAATTTTTGTTTTTTTATATATCGTAATTGCTTTCATTCTTCTCATATATAGTTTTATGCTTTTATTTGTGTTGTGTTAAGCTTGCAATTTAATGCCACGAATACATAAAAGGTAGGCAGGAGAAATATAAAGATGATTTTTTAATAACCTCCCAATGACAAAAGTTATGGCTCATGGCCAAAGTTTAGCTGAGATTTACATGACAGGTTCAACTATTTTCATTTTAAAAAATATAGTAAGTGAACTTAGCTAAACCGAACAGAAATGAATGACTATCCAGATGAAGGAAAAAGAATAAAATTAAGAGATCAAAAAGTGCAAGAAATGAGATGACAATTTTTTGTTCTTAAAGACAACAAACAAAAGAATATAACTACCACGGCGGACTATAAACTATGCTCAAGAAAATAGAAATCCATACATTGAGGAATATGGTAAGTGGGCAAAATCCAACTAAGACATAAGAGAATCATCAGTAGGATCACGATTCTGACGTGGAGAGGTTCAGGAGTCCTTTTGGAGCGACTGGTGTGGAAACGGTCTGACTGACACAGCATAAAAATCCAGAGAGAATAATGACCCATCCAGTGGTCTACTTGAGAAAAAATAAAGTGAGAAATCAAGACGGGAACATAAGAGAAGAATCTAGAAATGTCAAGACAATATTTTAAATACACCCTTGGGTTTCAAGTGATGGTAACCAGACTCGGGACTGCATATTTAAGAAGTCCCTGGCTTGAGGAAACCCAGAGAGGGTTGAAGACATTGGCTCAGATGAAGGATGCTAATCAGCCTCAAGAACCCCTTTCTGCACAGATGCTTTTCTGGAAGCGTCAACCTTGTTTTTCTCCACTGTAGGTCAATTTTTTGGAAGTGGAAAACAGATGTCAATATGTTGCATCTCATGCTGTTGGTCACCTGAGACTGTGATGCAATCTAGGAAAACTGTGTGAAGGATTTTGGGGTGGCTGCCCTCGTGGGGCCCATCAACAGCAGCCGGGACCCCAAGAACGTGAACACACAACAGTGGTCCCAGCAGTCCTGGCCAAGGAAACGCTGCCAAACCGGAAAAAGATACCACATACTTGTGTGCTGATAACTACGGTTGTTTGATGGGATCTTAATGGAAATTTCAAAGTGAAGCCAAAGTCACCCGAGGGTAGTGGAACTTCAAAACCCACAGCCACTCCAACACTAACCATGTCATCAGTTATACTGTCTCCAAGCAGGTTTCTACTGCATGTGGGCTGATGCCATTCTCTATTTCTCATTGGATAAAACCCTGTGATTTGGCGGGGACCCTATCCATCCTTAGTGGCATTTCTCCGCATTCCAACCTCAGGTAATTCGCTTCACTTTTCCAAACTTTCTCAGGCAATCTCAACTGTTCTCTCCGTTTAAATTCTCACCCTTGTCCTCCTGACAACCGGGTTTACACACCAGGCGTTTGTCTGGAACACATGTCTAACTGGATTCTGCAGATACACGGCTGAACATTTCCTGAGAAACGGACCCCCCGTATCTCAGAACCGTGTTATCAAATTTCTCCTTAAACTGACGCCTTTCCCAGAACTCATCCCTCTCCCCCTCCTCCTTAACCTGAGCTGGACCCCTGGCTGTCCATCGGCCACTCTTCGGCCCCCGCCCTGGGCCTCC